AACACTGTAGGATGAACTGGCCAACAGGGCAGACACCCAGAAGTGAGCGAGAAGTGGGTCCAAGGCCCAAGTGGAGGGGTGACTCAAGGGAAGAGGAGGAACAGAGAGCACCAGAGGAAGGTTCCCTGAGGCAGAGGAGGCCTCAGAAAGCTGGCTGTGCTAAGACTGCCTGGCAGGGACAGGGCCGGAGCTGCAGGAACCCAGGTCAGGGACATGCAGCAGGGACTCACCTCAGGAGCAGTGGCTCCCCAGCATGGTCCCCACACCTATGGACCCTTGGGATGCTCACAATCCCCGGGGATGAGGCCCAGCCATCCAGATCAGTGGCTCCGAGGGAGAGTTTGTTAGTACAGCTTCGGTGGGGGGGTGACATCACAAACCAAAGGAGTGCAGAAGCTGCAGACCACCCGATGTAATGGTATTTGGGAAGGCAACCAGCAGGAAGACAGTGGATGGGCCCTGGGAAGAGGCTAGCATGATGAGTGAGGGTCAGGTAAGAGGGCCAGAGAGTGGAGGGGTGGAGGGAGAGAATCTAGACTCCCCGAGTTTCTGAACAGGAAGGGGATGCACCAATGCCTCTGAGCCCTGGGGAGAGGATGCCTTGCCCAGCCAGGAAATGCTTTACACATGCCAAGTTCAGAAAAACGACTATTCAGCCCCCCAACAGAGACTGCCCCACACCCCGCCATTAGTTCTCCCTTTGTTCTATAGCAACTCCAGAGTTTGACTGATGCGTCTGGCCAGCTAGACCTAGAGATGTGAGCAGTGGGCATAGTTTCCTGGGAGCCCCCCCCACCTCCTGGGGTGGAAAACTGGTGCCACCATGTGCCCCCGCCCAAAGAAATGGTAGCACCCCAGGGATGGCAGAGGGAGCTGGGGTCACCAACACCAATGAGCTTCCAAATAGGCCCTGGACCTCTTATGACTGCATCACCCCACAGGATACAACCATCATCTGTCTCATGGAAGCCACTGTTGGGGCCTTGGGCACAGCCGCTGAGGCTTTAATCTGGCCAATATACACTTTGCCCAGGAAGCCACTGGAGGACGTGTTCCACCTAAACTAGTGAAGAGGAAAATCAACAATCTGTGAACCAGAGCATCCAACTGAGGAGAGCTGTGCAGAGCAGGTGCAAGGAACGAGCAGTCCAACTTGAAGTGGGCGGAGGATGGCTCTCTCCAGGGAACACATACTGAGCGGCTACCTGGCAGGCAAAACTATACTCTGAAGCATTTTACAGAGTCCTGGAGGCTGGATGTTGGGAGTGGGTGGGAGATAGAGACGACACTATGATAACAAAGCTGCAGAGTGACACAGTCATAGTGCCTGCCTGGCTCAGCGCTGCGTGGCACTCCCACAGGCCGAGTCTCAGGCTGACCCACCAAAAGACCCTGGGAGATAAGCCATGTACCAGAACAGAAGCATGGCAAGGGCAGATGCCCTGGGGCAGTGAGTGGGGGGGGGGGCAGCTGCGTTTCATCAAAAGCCACTTTGGGCCACTTCCACAGTATATCTTGGTTTAAAATAATTAAACATTGGGATACCTGGGTGGCTTAGCGGATGAGCATCTCCCTTTAGCTCAGGGCATGATTCCAGGGTCCTGGGATTGAGTCTCGCATTGGGAGCTTGCTTCTCCCTCTGCCTATGTCTCTGCCTCTCTCTCTCTCATGAATAAATAAATAAAATCTCTAAAAAAGTAAAAATTAAAAAAAAACACACTTTTTAAAAGTGCCAAAGAAACATTCAAGGCCACCAAAAGTTCAGAAGTGAAGAATCCATGTTGGAGACACCTCTGGCCTGCTCTGAGCAGGATATCGGACTACCCGTCAGGGGAAGCCCATAGCCGTTGTTGCAGTGGGGTTGGCGGTGAGCAGCAGTACCCCCCCCTCCCAACAGCATAAATAGAACAAGGACTTTAGAAAGATAAATCCAACCAACAGACACAGAAGTAGTCCTGCGCCTTTTCACCAAATTACTCAAAGCGGTGTTTCACGATATAGATAAAATTCAACCCAAAACGCACCTGGGAGAACAAACAAGCCTAAAAAAAAAAAAGTAGTTTTTCTATTTCAGGCAAGTGTTCTCTTATCACTCCCATCAGTCAGTCACTTTCTGTGCTGCTACTTTACTGAATTCCTGCATGACCTGCATTCTCTCTATGGCGGGACCTCTTGGCTGTCTGGGTATTACTGTGTTGCCTGCGAACACACACCTTGGTTACCCCCTCTCTTCCTGCGCCTCTGAATTTCCCTCTGGTTTAACAGTAGTGGCTCAAATCCCCAAAGCAACACTAATGTGCAGTGAGAGAACAGTCCCTTGCCCTAGTCCTGACCTTGGGGACAGTCCTCAGAGCTCCCCCTTTGGAGGAAGATGCTCACTCTAGGGCTCAGATACCTCTTTTTTTTTTTTTTAATTTTTATTTATTTATGATAGTCACAGAGAGAGAGAGAGAGAGGCAGAGACATAGGCAGAGGAAGAAGCAGGCTCCATGCACCGGGAGCCCGATGTGGGATTCGATCCCGGGTCTCCAGGATCGCGCCCTGGGCCAAAGGCAGGCGCCAAACCGCTGCGCCACCCAGGGATCCCTCAGATACCTCTTTTATCATGTTGGGGAAGCACCATCGATTCCTATTCTTACTGTTTTTATCAAGGATGGGTGGGTGGGTGAGGTCCTCACTGCGGCATGAACCTCAACACCCCAGATACCTGCCAAGTCCTCACTCAAGGGACACAACCAATAGCGGGGAGGGATGGGGATGGGGAGGCCAGAGGAGGAAGGAACCTGCATGGCTTCACTCAGGACTAAGGCTGATGCTTGTACTGTGGTTCTGAAATCAACAGCACGGCCATACAGACAGCCCCCTTCCCAGCACACTGGATGAACCCCCAAGTCCTCTTGCTTGCTCCCTGCTGTTCTGACTCCCCTCAGTGAATCACTGGATGTCCTGCCCACTCACCCAGGACAGGACAAGAGATCTAGCATCTGACCACACCCCTGCATTCCATCTGGGACCTCTGACCCTTCCCATACGCCTCTCACCAGGTTAGCATGGCCAATGTCCACATCACGTGTTGTTAAGTGGTAGGACAGGGCCTGGTCTGCAAGATCAAGACTGTCCAGAGTGTGAAAGTCACAAAAATGGGATGCGGAAATAGTTTTTCAAAGACACATATGCAGTATGGAATTACAGAATAAAAGCCAAATCAGCATCCTTCTCCACTCACGGCATTGATTGGCATCAACTCAATTACAGATTAGAGAAGACTTTGACTGAAATGAGTTTAGATGCCACTCATTGACAGCATTTTCTCTGCAGGAAAACACCATAAAATCACAGTTCTTGCGTGGGTGTCTTCAGCACCGTGTTTATTTTGTTCACTGGCTCTTGGTGAGTTAGTAGATGCTGTTCAGAGATGATAATGTTTGGTAAAAATATTAGGCGTGTTTTTTAACTTGTGTTCAGAAAACCCCTACTAAAATAGCCATTAAATGCTGTGAAACCATCGTAAACACTCCATTAAATGCACTCCTTAAAGAAATGTGCCTGTAGCTCAGGCTCCATAGATGAACATGCCATGCCATCAGATTCTAGATTTCCAACAACTCCCTTACTCACACCCTCCAGCAGGTGAGGATAGAAGACTTGTCAACAAGGAGATGGCAAATGGTGGAGATGCCACCCCTCCAGAACTTCTAACATGTGGACAGGATTAAATTCTAGCACAGAGTTCCACAAATTTCAGGCAGAAAATAGCTCAGTGAGGCTGAAGGACAATTCTGAGCAGTTATGGGGCCTGGGCTCTGGATGCGGGGCTCAGGAGAGGGGCTGCCCCTCACTTTCAGGAGGCAGGCAAGGACTGGTGAAGAAGAGATGAGCAAACTTATGAGGCCATGGCTGTCCTCGGGGTACAGAGACACTCTGATGGCCACTGCATGCCTGGGCCTGGGGCCACATTGTTTGTAAAGAAGCAGAGCTTCCCATGGGTAGGCTCTAAGTGAAGCAGATCTAAGGGCACTGCAGCCAGCTTTAGTTGAAAGAGGAGAATAATCATGAAATTTAAAAAAATAATAAAATTAAAACACCAAAGAGAATTCCCTTAAAAAATAAAAAGAAACAAACTTTAAAAATGCATCTCACATCAGGACCCACTCTGATTCTGATAGGCCCAGGGCCCATTATCCCATACTTCTTGACCTGAAAGTAATCTATGCCTCTCGTTCATGGAACAAGCCTCTGGAAAATACCTCTTTGATGCTGCGTGAGGCCCTGGAGCCAATACAAATAATAAGATCAAGCCCTATTCCCGAGGCCTCCCCTCGTAGAAATACTAAGGTAACCTGGTATATAGAGTGGTACCTTCTGAACTGGGTTTTGAAGGATGAATAGGAGTTTTCTGAGAGTAATAGAAAAGACAGCTTGGCACTCCTGGCAACTGGAGATGAGTGTAAATGAACGGCACTGTGCCCATGCCTGTAGGCTTATTGTGTTCCCTAAATCACAAAAAATAATTACACTCCATTAAGGTCAAGTGTCCCTCTATGAACCTGGAGCTTAGTTCCCTATGTCCCACCATATTTCCTGAGCCAGGAACTAAAAGGCCTGCATGGTTTAAGGTGGAATCTGACCAAAGGAAGAAATAAATGAGAACATCAGAGGCAAAAATATGCTTAAGGAGCCCCTCTTTGTTGGGGAGGTAACAGTTACTCCTGGTGACATCACTCTTCCTCGAAAAGCCCTGCCCCAGGCCACAGCCACTACACACCACGTGGTTCTATGCTCCCAGACTTGCGTGTGACCCTCCGTCAGGACAGTCATCCATCTGACTTTCATTCCCAATTTTAAAAAACAGGCGCCGACTATATTTCAGTAATTTATTATACAGCCTCTTAAAAGTTTAAACTTAGACTTCATTAAACACAAGAGCCAAAACTGGGTCAGAGAGCAGCCTGGCTGCAGGGTGCCAGCAGGAGCAAGTGGACAAACAGCCGCAGACTTACCTCCATGCACAAAGCCATGCAGGGTGCAGTCAGAAGGCCCCACCAGGTGGATCAAGCTGGACTGGCTGTAGCTGACCGTGTTGGGCTCTGGAATTGCAAAGGAGAGAGATTAGGGTGTGGGAGGGGTCGATGCCCAAGGTGGAGCGCTGTGACACACTGACTGCCCTGACGTCTGCACAGCCACCTGGGGCATCCCACTGCCAGCATTGCAGGTGTGATTTCTCTAAGGAACCCGTGGTCTGAGCGCTCAGGTCAGTAATGTTCATCAGCCACACTGTTATCAGTTCATGATGTCACTCTTGTGGCACCCTGTAAGGCCTGCAGACAGCCAGTGAACACCTCGTGGCTACTTACTTGCTCCCAGGGCTGCGGTGACCCTGTGTCTAGATAGTCAGCCCTCTGACTTTCACTCCCAATTTCATAAATAACAGCAGACAGTATTTCAGAAACTTAGCATGCAACCCTGAGAGAGTGTACATTTACACTTCACTGAACATGGTGGTAGGTGGAGACACCACAGACACAGCCTCCCTGGATGGCTCCCAGGGACTCCTGCCAGCCCCTTGGGCTCGGCCCCGGCCCTGGAAGCCTCAGCTCCCAGAGGCATGCCAGCTCTTCCCTCCCATTCACCGCCCTAGCTCGCCAGATCCCTGGGGGCATCCCTCCCTCCATGCTGCTGCCAAATATCTAGAAGAGGCTACACTTAGAAACACATGAAATAAAACCCCAGAAGACAGATGTGACACTTTGACACCATCTGTTCTAATAGGTGCATGTGTCCACCAGAGAGCCTCAAGGATGCTGGTGTGACTGTGACTGACAGCTGACAGGAAGCCAACAGATGGACGCCCACGAAGTTTAGGAGGGACAATTGTTCAAGCCTAAATAACCTCTGATGCCTCCAGTTGTAGACGAGAAGGCACCCACTTCAGAGGAGGCCGAGGAGGACAGCGGGCAAGGAAGACCCTCTGGAGAACGGATGGGCTGAGGACCCCCCGACCCTGTCACCCAGAGAGCAGGCCCCCTGTGAGCACATCAGGCCTGAGAACACGTGAGTGTGTTCGCCCTTGTCTCCTGTCCCACCTCCATGTGGTGCTGCTGCAGGGGTCCCACTGCTTGGTCACCAGCCACTGGCCCACCAGAGGTACCGCATCTAAACCCAAAAGGAGACCATGGAATCCAAGGTACCGCCCCCTGAGGTTAGGCAGTGGCTGGACAGGGTTCCGGGGAAGTGACCCACATGTGCAAGGGAACAAAATGGGACCTGGTGGTCAGCAGGCAGGGCCAGGTAGCCCCTCCTCCTCACCTGCTCCACACACAGCTAGACTACCCTCCTCCTCTACAGGCTGCCTTCCTGCCAAAGGGGCGTGAGCAGAAGTGCCACCTGCTGTTTTCAGGCCCAGCCCATCCAAACCCCCGCTGTGTGAGCCCCTGTGCTCTTTCCCCTTCTGAGGTAACCCAGAAAGCTGCCAGAGGCAGGGCTACAAAACGCAGTCCACCCTATTTGCAGGACACCCCCTGATTTGGAACACCCGGTTTGGACTTTATGAGAAATAAACCTCTACTAAGTTAGGCACTAGGACTTTAGGGTTTAGCAGCTACAGAGGCCACCACAGATGGCACTGATTAACACAGTGCCATGTGTGTGAACCTCAACCTCATGACAATGTCCAGAACCTGAGCAAGGTCTCCAGGGCAGCAACGGGAGAGGTCATAAACACACACAAAATTCTGTGTTTCCAGCCGAGGAGACAGAGGCAGAGAGATTAACCCTCATGGGGCAGAGGTGGGATTCAGACCTGGGCAGTCCAACTCCAGACAACGTGCCCCTCACCACCCTGCCTCTGCCTCCTTACGCTTCGCTCCCTCCCCAGAACAAATGCTGATGGGCTCAGGATGATGGGGCCTGGTCAGGTCCTGGGAGACCCCAGATGGACATCGAGCACTCTCAGGGGCGGCCGGGCAGGGGCTGACCACAGGGAGGCAGAGCGTGGGCCCAGCCCAGCAACTGGAGCCGGGCTTCTTTGTCACAAACCCGACAGCCCTCAAATGGCTCCAGGTGGCCAAACAGTCCCTACACAGTCAAAGCTGGACATTTGACAGCCATGGATCATACAGTTCAAGGTAATTATATTTTCTCTTTTCAGATGCAGAAAACAATAAAAAAAAGCTTGGTTTTAAAGAACTCCCAGACTCTCTGAAAGGACACCTGAAGGATGAGGTCAGTCCGGCGAGGGAGTTGCTAGGCAACGGCCTGGAGAAATCGGGTTCTGGTGTCAATGGTGACAGAGAGCCACAGATCATGTGGGGGTAGCGGAGTCCTTTCACAGGAAGGGGCTCATGGGTTAGAAAGACCCCCAGTACTGAGCTCATGCTCTGTTCTTCCTGCTGAGTGCCTGTCCTGCTTGCACAGGCACATCCACCAGGCCCAGCCCATCCCAAGCCACACGGGAGGCCATCCTGCCCTTCCCGGGGAACTGGGAGCCTGGCCTGCCAGGGGAAGGCCAGCTGTAGCAGGAGGCTGAGGTCAGAAATAAAACCACATTCAAAAACACCAAGGAACGAGCATGTGACTTCCTTAAGAAGCATTTAAAAGCCAGTCCCTAAGCCAATTATCTGAGAAAGATGCATTTTTACTGGAACATAGGAAAATAAAAAAGAAAAGCTTATAAAATTCTATCAAGAAATCTTGAGATTCAGAATGTCACCTTTGAGTAGCAGTGTTGGAGAATAACAGATTCTGAGAAACGTCATGCATCAGATTCACAAACAGGAGGGCAAACAGCAAATAGCCCCAAGCATGAAGGGACTTGGGCTGGAACCGTGGGCATTATATTAGTTTCCCAGACCGTCAAAGGAGGAAACAAGGACTAAGCTTAGGTTTTCAAAGCCCCAGACTCGGCCCTCAGCCTGGCTTTCACAAGAGCACTGGCTAGAAATAACCCAGAGAGGAGCGCCCAAGCAGCCCCCAACGTGCTGCTCAGACTTCCTCCTGGCCCGTCCTTGCTGCTGCTGGGCTGACACGGTCTCTTCCTGCCTGTCTAATGAGAACAATAGTCACTGGATTTGGGGCCCACCTGGATAACACAGAAGGACCTCATCTCGAGATCCTAACCTGATTACGCTACAAACACTCTTTTCTAAATAAGGGTCCAGAATTTCAGCATGGACATGTCTTCTGCAGTGTAGGATGGGGGGCTGCCCCTCCAGCTTCTCTGTCCCAGAATATACCCTCAGCACCCAGTTTGTACTTTTTCAAAGACATTTCCACACCCTCATATCACTTTGCAGTCCTCCGTGTCTTTGCCTGACCAGCATGCTTGCTTACCCCCCAAAAGCAGGGCCTGGGTCTGGCATTTCTGCTGCCCTCAGCAGGGGCCCGAGGGCCTGGGTAGACCCTCAGTCTCAGGAGTGACCCCAGACCTGTCTTGTGGGTTACTGTGCTATAAACAGATTGTTGATTCCAGTAACATACTTCTTAGGAATACCAAGAAGTAATTTATCATTTTGGTATTTACTGAAAACCAGATGTGAAAACACCGAAGACACCACCCCACGCACAGGCCACCAGCCTTAACCTGCCCACAGGGAAGGCAGGTTAAGGCTGGAAAGTGAGAAAGATAAGATGGAGACACGCAGAGTCTTGTGCAAACCAAACAGGCCCTGCCCGAGGGCACCCTGCGCACAGGAGCTGAATAGCAGGACTCGAAACCCAGAAGGTCCTGTCCTAATGCACACACGTGATGCATTGTTGCCAGGGCCCCTGCAGGCAGGGGAGCAGAAACTGTCCAGCCCATGCCCTAGAGTTCCCTATAGCCCTGGTTAGCAGGAGCCAGGGCACAGCTTGGAGGGGGAGAGCCCAGGGCACATCGGGATGCAACACCGAGCAAGGAAGGGATTACTCGGGACGAGTCCATAGCTGTCTGGGACCAAATCCAGAACCCAAACACTACTTGTGTCCAGGGTCACCCTATGGAACCCCATACAGAACACACAGCACATTCTGGAGAGTCCTTTCCACATGGACACAATGTGGTCATTGTGGGTATAGGGGAGACACACATTACAGGGAAACCCACGACCCAAGGGCTCACCATATCCTGATGGGAACAGAAGCCCCAGAGACCCTGCCTTGACCTGTCTGAGTGCCAGGGGAGCTGTCTGTTAAGGACGCAGGGAGGAAAGTCCCATCTGGGGGGAAACCATCCCTGGCCGTTCAGGTTGTGGCACACTTTGCTAGAGCCAGCCACCTGGATGTGCAGGCAAGAGAATGAGGGGCCAGAGGACATGGCCTGAGAGGAAGCCAGCATGCCCGTGGAACTTTCTCACCCTCACAGCCAGGGAGTCAGTCTACCTTTTTTCCATGGTGACATCTAAGTGGCAGGCTGATAAGGAACAACACGGGAAAAGCAGCTACCGTTTGCCTGTTTTTGTTGTTGTTGTTGTTGTTGTTGTTGTTGTTGTTTTTATGAGCTGAAAATGTCATAAAAAAATGTGCTCCTGGGCAGCCCGGGTGACTCAGCAGTGTAGCGCCGACTTCGGCCCAGGACCTGATCCTGGAGTCCCGGGATCGAGTCCCACGTCGAGCTCCCTGCATGGAGCCTGCTTCTCCCTCTACCTGGGTCTCTGCCTCTCTCTGTGTGTCTCTTGTAAATAAATTAAAAAAAAAAAAAATTGTGCTCCTGAGCCACCCTGGGGGAGGCTACACACAGGTGTGCTTCTCTCTGCCCTGGCAGTGGGGCCTCTGTCTCTGCACTCTACGGGCCTGTAGGGCCCCCTGAGGTGTCCTGTCCCTCACTGCTGACTGCAGTACTGAGAAGGGGTCTGCAAGGTGCAGGGACAGGAGACACGGCCCCCAGGAACCCAGAGGGCCTGGTCACTCTAAGTGGAGAAGATTTGTGAGCCTGCCGCATTCGGCACTTACTGACCGAGGTTAGCCCCCCATCCTGCACCCCAGCTCTCACCTGGGTTCAGGACGGGCTGGACGATGTCCCCATTCCTCCACTTGGTCTCCATGCGCTCCAGCTTCTGGGCCTCGTACCGCTTTCGGCCCTCCTCCTCCTGCTCCTGTCGGGAGTACTGTGGGGAGGCACGGCAGGGGTGTGTGTGGGGGTGTCAGGCCAGCAGCAATGAGCCTGGCCTTCCTCCCCGCACCCTCCTCGGCCAGGCGTGGCTTGCCTCCCAGGCTCAAGGCCTCCTTGTGTGGCCTCCATTTATGTAATTGGAGCCATCTAGTCCTTTCCTGATAATATATATTTAATAGAAAAAATAAAAACACAGAGAAGGCAAAAATCTCACGTATCGAGAGATAACCCAAGTCAAATGTTTATGTTCTGCCTCCTAGAATGGTTCCCATACCCACGAATGTGTAAGAGTTCTCCCTGGCCATGTGTGAAGTTCTGGGGTACCAATGTTTCCACCTCCCACTGCAACCGTGAACTTCTCAGCCTAACACAACTTAGGTGATGGACCTGGTACCGAGAGCATTAAGCCTGCATCTGGTCCTTCACCGTTAAAACAACATCACGTTAACAGTCTCAGTCATACTTTACACTTGCCCCTTCCTTCCTTCCTAGGATTTATCCCCAGCCACGGAACTACAGGATCCCGGGGGGCCCTGCCAAGGTGAGGACAAAGCAGTTGCCTGCATGCCCCCCACACCATCACTCTGCTGGGCTCCCAGCTGGTCCTACAGGTTGCACACTTGTGGGAACGCAAACCAAAGCTGAGAGAGTCCAGTGGAGCTCTCCTAATGGATGGCACGGGTTTGGACCCAAGAAGTTAAGAATAAACGTGAATATAAAACCTGACACAAAAACTGGGGTATCTCTGGGCACAGCAGGAGATGCCGGGTTTCTCAAATGTGACAGCAAGGGCCTGTCCTCTGCCCAGCGTAGGGCACACATGCCCTCCCTGGGGGACCCCTCGGAAAAGCCCCAGGCCAGGTCCACGGGCCCTCATTAGATGGCTGGCTTCCCTAGCAGTCCTCTCCCTTCCTGCTGACCACAGCCCAGCCCCCTAGCGCCCCCCACACCCCCGCTGCCCCCGCCCACAGCCCAGCTCTCCTCCTCTGGGTTAGCTCTGACATCTGCCCCTTTATTCACTCAGCCAGCATTTCTGGCTGGGCCCATGGAGAAGCTACTGAGCTCAGGGCCCCTCTCCGCCCCCCTCGGAAGCCTCTCTGACTGAGGCAAATTCATTTCAGAAGGCAATTTTAGATCTTCTTTCAAAAGCCAGTTTTAAACATCTTGATTTTCCTGCTCATGGCTCTGCTCCAAATCACACAGGGTCTGAACACCACTCTGCAGCTTAATTACCATTATCTGAGGCTTGAGAACCTGTCTCCCAAGGAGACTGAGAAAGGGACTGAGTGGCCTGTTCAAAAGAAACAAACCATGAGTGTTTAAGCTGCAGTGGATAATTTAACCTTTTCCTTCGTAAATAAACTGCTGCCTCCCGTCCCACCGCCCAGAGTAAAGACCGTACAAGCAGAGTCTGTGCTGTGCCTACCCAGTAAAATTCACAGCTCAACTCAAGGGTCCTTAAGAAATGCCTTTTAAGGGCAGCTTGGGTGGCTCAGCGGCTTAGTGCCACCTTCAGCCCAGGACATGATCCTGGAGACTCGGGATCAAGTCCTGTGTCGAGCTCCCTGCGTGGAGCCTGCTTCTCCCTCTGCCTCTCATGAATAAATAAATAAAATCTTTTTTAAAAATGCTTTTTAAAGAGATTATTTAAGAAAAAGCCTAATAGGACAGCCTGGGTGGCTCAGCGGCTTAGTGCAGCCTTCGGCCTAGGGCGTGATCCTGGAAACCCAGGATTGAGTCCCACATCAGGCTCCCCACAGGGAGCCTGCTTCTCCCTCTGCCTGTGTCTCTGTCTCTCTCTCTCTCTCTCTGTGTCTCTCATGAATAAATAAATAAAATCTTAAAAAAAAGAAAAAAAAAGAGCCTAATAAATCCTGGCCACGTGCAACACACCACTCCAGCCTGTGCAGACATGTAGGGCACGTGGCAGGGCCCCGGCCAGACATGAGCCACGAAGACAGAGGAAACACAACCTCCTCAAAACTGTCCTGCCGGCTTTAAATCTGAGATAGGGGCATCTGGGTGGTTCTGTGGTTGAGCATCTGCCTCAGGTTGTGATCCCAGGGTCCTGGGATTGAGTTCTGCATCAGGCTCCCCACAGGGAGCTTTTCCCTCTGCCTCTCTCTCTCTCTGTGTCTGTGTCTCTCATGAATAAATAAAAATTGTTTAAAATAATAAAATCTTTAAATCTGGGGATAGAATCACTAGAACATCCCAACGATAGGCTAGTACCCCATTCTCATCCCCAAGGGCTTGTTGTCAAGCCCAGCTGATGTGAAGAAGCCAGCTCAGCCCACATGTCCAACAGTCTGGGCAAGACTCTGAACTCAAGCTCGTATTCAGACACGGGAAAGAAAAAACCAACACCAGCATGTCTACTCTGATGGCCACCCAGGCCCCCTGTCCCCTGCTCTGGTCACCACAGGGGTCCTTCTCCTGTCAGAGGGATTCTGAGTACTGAGGTCCCTGTTCCGTGGAGAAGAGGGTGGAGCGGACACTGAATAACACCGCACAGGATCAATACCCAGGCTTCTTCCAGGGAGATGCACGTGTGCAGTAATCTCTGTCCACGTGTGTGTGACGTCGACATGTGTATATGTAAGATATGTGATGTACGTGTCTGTGGTACATATACACACGTGAGAGATGTGTAATACACACACTTAGGCAGAGAAATATGTGTATTCTCAAATAAGTGACAGCAATCTGTAAAGGCTGGAGGGAGGATTCTGGTGGGTATTAGAAAGCCTTGAGGCCATGCTACCAGTGAGATGAGCACAAATGTCAGAGAGACACTGAGCTTTCCAGGATCCAACAGGACACAGCAGATCTATATTTCAAATCAACTGAAGGCTTCTATGTGGGCCTCACGTTGCGGGGGGGGGGGGGGGGGGGGGGGCAGCTCCCATAAACATTAGCATCGGCTGCAGCTAGGAACTACATGGCTTCTCCCATCTGGAGCCCTCTGTTTCTGCCTCTACAAGGGCAGAGTTGGTATTTACGTCTTATCAAACCCGGCTGAACAAAGGGGATGGGAAACTCTGGGCCCCTCTGGGATATGGAGGTGAGTGCTCCCTGGGGAGGAGGGCTGCCCCGGCCCTGTGGGGGGACAGGAACCGGCACACTGCTGCCCCTGCCCCACTGGCTGGAGACCCAAAGCTTTCAGCCCCCGGTCCCAAGGAACCAAAGGAAGCAGAGCTCACGGGCTCAGCCCCAGAATCTTCCTGCAGTATCAACCCCGTAACATGCATCATGAGGTGCTGAAACCAGAGAATGGCCAGCCACAGACCTCTAAATTCTGTGGCATCTGAAAATGAAATCAGTTAAATAATTACATTGTATTTACACACGATGCAGCTAATTGAACACCGAGTACTTAGTGGGAAAGATGAAAGAAGGAGTGGGTGGGTACACTCATCATTTCTAAGGAAAAAAGTCACTCCAGACTCACTCCTGCTTCTTGGGTCTTAAGGCCCCCGATCAGTGCTGCAGAGAGGAGGGAGACAGGGAAGGAGGTAGAGAGGCTGGAGGAGGGGAGAGAGGGGGCGAGGCCAGCAGGAACTGAGAGCAGAGCTTGGGGTTCCCTGTGCACTGGGAAGCTGCGCGTGTGACGTCACACAGAACTGGGGTCTGTGCAGGTGTGATCAGTTCACATGAGGTAAAGCTGCAACAGAACGGAACCCACAGGTAACAACTGGCACACATCTGAGGAGGAGGTGCATGGCCACAAGCCACTAGAAGCTGGATGATATAGGAAGGGTCATCCCCTGGGGCCTCTGTCAAAGCAGCCCCAGGACACCCAAAGAGACATGACCCCTAGGAACTGCTGGGCTCCATGCCCTGGCTATGAGCTTCCACTGCTCTCCTCACTTGTTAGGGATGGGTGGCACCAGGGCTGTCGGCAGGTGGTGGCACTACCTCCCTTCTCTCACAGTACTAGAGGACAGGCCACCAACCCAACCCAGACCAAGGTCCAAGCATCCTTCCCATTCAACATGGAGAGGACTCCTCTATCTCAAGATGTTTTTTTAAAATATCTAGACTACACAGCAGCTAGAGTCTCGCAGGCAGCCACCCCTACCTACCTAGGAGATGTGCCACCTGGGCCTTGACTGCCCCTGGGGGCCCAGGCAGGGTGTGGGGTCAGATACTGAGCTGGCACAGGTTGTGGGGGCACTTGCAGGGAGTGCCCCAGCAGCATTATATCTCTAAGGCTGCAGGGAGTGGGAAGGCCTGTAGGAAAGACAGAGCAGGCCTCCCCCAAGCAGGAAGTGCCTACACTGCGGCGTCTCAGGAGGGCGAGGACAGAGACTGCTCGTTCCAGGAGTGCTCAGCTCCCCTGTGAGCTCTGAGAAAAAAGAGCAGGCACCAGTTTCTAGCGGTCTGGTTCCTGTTCTGGAGGATGCTCAGCACGGGGGCAGACATGCCCTGGCTATGGGATATTCCCCTCTAACTGCTGAGGCATGAGGGCAGAGAGTCACAGGTCTCCAGAGAGGAGCTGTCATGTGTGTCCTGGAAACATGCAGGTACGTGGGCCACAGGAGGAGGTGAGGGGTAACTAGGAAAGGAACAAAATCCTTCTATTGGCACCACCTTCGCCCTCCGGAAGCCTGCCTAGCCAATCGTGCCTGTGGCAGCCTGGGAATGTTTACAACAGGCTCCTTTGTGCAACAAAGCTTCTGTCTGCAGCAGAACCACAATCAGAGAACCATGGGTGGTGACAGAAGAGGTAGGAACAGAGATGTCTTAAAATCTGTTTCTTTAGGGGCCAAGGGGGGTGGTGGCAGGCTGGGCCGGGCAGCCTGGAGGTCCTGGCTCTCGGCAGAAGGACCTGCCACCCGACACCGGGTCCCTCCGGTCAGGGGTATGAGTAAGGGTCCTCTGGGAGGGGCCCCTACCAGGCCCAGGCCAGCCTTCACTCACATTCCCAGCATGAACAAAACCTGCACAAAGACCCCTTCAGGGACACCTGCTCCACTGGCGTCTCCGGCTGGCAGACCCAGGTCTGGTCCCTGAGGCTGCTCTCCTGGGACACCTGTGTAGCCTCTCCAAGCTGCCCCCAGAGAGACACAGAAGGGGGTCTCCTTACCACAACCGGAGGCACCTCCAGGACCTTATCCACATTCTTCAGTGACAGGGGCACGTACCATAGGGTGGCCTTGTTGGTCAGCTTCTTAGTACCTTTAGAGGAAAGAACCACATGAGTGATGGCATAGGGAGGGCACAGGGCAGGGGGGCTGAGACCCAGCTCTCTGGCCCCCAACCCCCACACAGTGGGAGATGGGCACAGAGCTCAGGGAGCCTCCCACCACAATGCTGCCCCTCCGGAGGTTGCTGGAAAGACTACAGATCATATGCTTTAACCCCGGGGATCCCCGCTTTCCAGCATTTCTACCACAGAGGGCTCTGACTGCAGGCACCTCCTCCTTGCGGGGCTTTGACATAAGGGAGGTTTGGTCGTCAGCATGCCCAGAAGCCTGAGGAGCACAGGTAGGGAGGGGGCCCTCACTCAGCCAGGGGACTCAGCCCAGGCTGAGCTCGAGTTTCTGCAAACAGATCCAGCAGACCCGGAGCTCCCAGTCGAACACACTCTGCTGGGGAGCTTCAGCGTTCAGCAAAGGAACGTCCACCTGCCTACACACAGCTAAGAGCTCCTGCCCGATGGGGGCCAGGAGGACAGCGGCACACGGATGTGAGGCTCAGGGGGACACGGAACCAGGGCCCACACGGGCAACCTGGTGAGGGGCTGTGGCCGGGCCACACACTGGAGCACACCTGCACCACCGGCTGGGCAAGTCCCGTCCTTCAAGGTGGGATGCCTAGATTTGCTGACTCAGAGCTCCAATTGAGAAACTTCAGAGAGGAGTGCTTAGAGATGGGCAGTAGGCTCAGTGACAGGAAATAGAACCTACCAGGGATAAGTGTCTGGGCTGAGAACCAGGGACCAGAAAAGTCCAGAGATCACTTGGTGCAGCCCCTCTCACTTGTACAGGAAGAGTGTGGAGCCCAGAGAGGTCAAGTGGTTTACCTAGGGTCACAAAGAAACTCAGTGCTATTCTGTGTACAGACCCAGGCCCCCACAGAGATATCAGCTAGGATGCCTCTAAAAAAGCAGTTTCCGGGCAGCCCAGGTGGCTCAGCGGTTTAGCGCCGCCTTCAGCTCAGGGCCTGATCCTGGAAACTTGGGATCGAGTCCCATGTCGGGCTCCCTGCATGGAGCCCGCTTCTGTCTCTGCCTGTGTCTCTGCCCCTCTCTCTCTCTCTCTCTCTCTCTCTCTCTCTCTCTCTGTCTCTCATGAATAAATAAATAAAATACTAAAAAAATAAAATAAAATAAAATAAAAATAAAAAAGCCGTTTCCTCAACATGGAAGATCCTCAATGTAGAGGAGAACAGCAAAACCGCAGGACATACAGGAAAGCAAGTGGGGACGGTGGGGAGCAGCTGGCATCCTCTTAGTGCCTGGTGGAGTTCCCTCTCTGATGTTCCCAAGGATGCTGGGGACTTTGGTTTCCTCCCCTGAATACAGCCCCAAGGGCCAAGCCAAGCCCCACGGTCATGCAGGAGTGTGAGCCCCCGGTGCCTGGGGCTCCCAACGCCAGAGCCGCCAGTGCTCGGCCCCAACATGGAGGCACCATCAGGGAACAGGCGCTCTGCGCTTGGGAACCACAGGCAAGTAACATGGAAAATATTTTCACTGCACTTTGACTGAGAGTGGATCTGACAACTTGCTTCTGGGAATGAAGATTTCCTGTCTGATCTGCCAGAGCCAGCCTGACAAGCTGGTTTCCATGGAAACCGGAGTGGCCCTCCTCTAGACCCAAATGAACACCACAGGGCAAATGAGGCAAAACATGCTAATTGTACTTTCTCCATCACTTAATAAAACCATCAAAAGACAATTGCAGCATTAAAAACACCTATTTTAAAATCTTAAGAGCTCCCAGCTATTTTCTGGAGCAATTTGCAACAATCATGTCCCAGTTAGCTTAATATTTTGACAGTTGCCGGAGATGAATGAGCCATCTCGGAGGCAAAGGTTTGCTGGTTGTCTGCCTCGGCGTGTGTTCACTCGGTTGCCTCCTGACAGGCGGCACCGTCCCAGAGGAGGGGACCCCTGCCTCCTGAGGTCTCAGATCCCAGGCCTCCTAGCCCCCATCACCCTAGGTCCACTGGGCCCGGTGCTGCTATAGGCAGTAGGGGAACTGCAGTAGACAAGCCACCAGCCCGGCCTTCACATCCTAGACACGTGAGCACAAAGATACACGTCGGGATGGAGAGGACAGCCTTGAGAGACACAGGGTCCTAGAATCAGAAACACCTCCATGGATCCAAACACGGGAACACACAGGGGGAGACTCAGTCACCCAATAACAGAATAGAGACCCAGAAATGAGAGAGACAGACCCGCAGTGGCAGAATACAAAAGGGAGCCTCCAGCCCTTCATCAGGACATTCCAGGGCAAGACAACTGTCAGGGCTCCAAGAACAGCTGCACTCTTCATGGAACAGGGAGGCCTGAGGGTCACGAGGGGGAATCCCAATCAGGGAGCCCAGCCCCATCCTGAGAGGTAACACAACTGGCCCGTCCCTTGCTTTTCCTGAGCCTCTCCTTTCTCAGAGCACAGGGGATCACAGAGCCTGTGCCTCTGTCCCATGAGGGTGGACGGCCCCAGCACTTCTCACCCTTGCTTCTCTCCTTCGCAGGGTACATCAGGCTGTGTGTGCCCATCCTGCAGGGAAAGAGCAAAGCCAACACCGTGGGACCTGGACGCCTGGGGAGGTGCGTCCTCACTGGCCCGTTAGTGCCACGGCCGGGCGAGAGCAGCCTGCCCTGCGGTGGGAGGGATCCTTTAGAAGTCAGGCAGAGCATGTCGGTCTGGACAAAACCTTCTGTCAGCTTCCCATCTCTGCACAGAAACACAAATCTTCCTGACAGCCTTGTTCATTTGGTCACCCGTTCACTCCATCACTCATCTGCCCATAGTTATCACCCCTACATCTGTTGGGAGCCAAGAGAAGCCAAGAAGAGGAAGACGGGACTCACTCCCTCCAAAGTTCACGATCCAGAGCAGGATTTCTCAGTGTCGGGACTGGGACACAGGGGACTGGGTCACTGTCCATGGTGGGGACCACCCTGTGCCTCCCACACTAGATGCTAGCACCTCTGCTCCAACAGTGACAATCAGTCACCAAGCTGGGGGTCCAATGCCACCAGGGTGAGCTCCACTTTGAAAGTCAAGAACACCCTTGCTTCTGGCCTCTTCTCCATTTGCCAACAGGAAGCTGCTATTCTGTCCCTCAGAGGTTCCTCCTGGGCCAGAAATCTGGAAGCCAGGGCCCTCCCTCACTTGAAGTGACTGGCTCTGAACTGCTAAACATCACCATGAAAAAGCCACACTGCTGGGATGGCCATCCACAAGGAAGCATGAAGATGGGAAGCAGAAGAGGCAGTGATTCACCCTGTCAAGTCCCGGCCCCACCCAAGAGAGGAGGCCTTGACCACAGAGAGACAGACCACAGGGAGTGGGGACAGGGACCCCAAGGTCCCATCGTGAGAAGACAGTGCCCAGGTACCCCTCCTGTGCCACAGCCATAGGCACAGGGATGCTGACTGCTCCCCAAGCACCAGCCCTTGCTTGGCTAAATCATTCACTATGCCTTGGCCAGGCCTGCTGAGGACACCCTGGGATGTTCTAGATGGACAACTATGCTCCAGACCCAAGGAAGAGAGAAGACTGAGCCCCTGGAAGATTTCTGAGCACAGTACCTTGCAGGCAGCCAGGGCCAAGGAAGGGGCAAGGGGCCATCCAGAGGAAGGTCCGAGGCCCCAGGCAGCTCCTGGTTCTAGAGAACCAGCATGGACTGTCCTCTGCATAGGATGTGGGACAATGGGGTGCCCTGGGACAGGAAGGTGGGCAGCAAGGGGGACAAAGGGGCCTGCCTTCCCTTTAGCAGCCCGGGTTATAAAAAGCAGCAGCAGTGCAAAGCAGAGCCACACTCCCCTGCAGAGCCCAGTGGGAGGATGAAAAGGGGTTTCCATGGTTACCACTCAGAGAAAGAGAATATTCAGATCAACCCAGAGTCAAAGGTTCACCCAGGAGCTTCAGCCTAAGCCTGGTATGCAGGGCCAGGGGTGCAGGGGAAAGGATGGGGAGCAACCCACCTCCCCATCCCCACTCCCCACCACCGCCCCCCCAGTGGCTCCCATCTACAGGGAACAGCAAGGCAGGTTGAGGGGGTATTGACAGCAGCTTGTGCCCCCCTAGCCCACTGCCATCCCCCTGCCCCTGCGGAGCTGATCACCAGGCTCTGGAAGGCAGGAGGGGCAGTGGCCATTCAACCAGGGCCAGAGCCCAAATCCCACTCTAGGGCCATTCTGTTGAACTCACTGCTTAATCCATCCCTGTCCACAAAACAAGGATGGCAGAAATATCTGTTCATGGGCAGAGCTGGGAATTAAGGGAGGTCATTCATGGGTGGTCTCAGGATCAGGCCCTGGCACAGGGTCAGCCCTCCATCCATGGGATCTTTGGCTGCTACCTTACTGTCACTGTTGTTGGCACTGACCCCAACGAAGTAGGCTTGGTGAGACATGTGCAGAAGTTACCTGTGAGGATGTTTTCAGACATCACGTTGACCTGGACTTCCACAGAATGCTTGGAGGTATAGGTAATCTCCGCGCTGACATGTGCCACCTCGCCGATGCACATGGGTGACAGGAAGTCGGTGCGCTCCACTCGGGCCAGGGCGGCTACACAGCGCTCCTGCAGAGACCGGGGACAGGTTAGCCCTGCAGGGCAAGCCCAACCCTAGAGATGCTCCTTGAAAACGGCCTTTCTTTTTCCCCACTGTGAAAGTCATGCTGTTTACTGACACCACAAGTTCCCAACTGCAAAACCACAGGAGATGCAGAAATGCCTGGTGGGAATATCCCAAAGCAATCACTAGCAGGATTCTCTGAATGGTGGGGGTTAGGAGTGGCTTTTTACTTTCTTTCTCATTTTTCTACAAAGCATGTATATTATTTGCATAATGAAAAGTAAAAAAAAAAAATTAAAGACATACTCATTTTGGAAAATTTGGGAAATACAGAGATGTAGACAGAAAAGGGAAAATCACTCCTTCTATCCGGAGAAAGCCCAGGTTTCTATTTTGGGATCTTCCTTCCCAGGCTCTTCTCCCCAAGAATGAGATCTCACCGGTTCTTCCGTAGTTACTCAGTCTTACACAGTCATGAAAACATAAACATACGTGTCTACAACCTGCTTTTTTTTCACTCAAAATGAGGAAAAATAACATGCCTGTGTTACAAAGAATGCTTCGCAATCAATATTCTTTTATTTCAATTTAATTCTTCAAATAGGCAACCCATTTGCAAGACTCAAAATTCAAAAGAATGAAAGGGTACGGGGTACCAGGTCTGCCTCTTGTCACTTGTCCCAGCCACCTAGGAGCCCCTTGGTAACTGGTCAATGTGGCCCCACAACAGGAGTGCCATCTGGAGGGCATGCAGTGGTCTACCCCGGGGCTCATTCTCTATGAAACGTGACAGACTTCCTTATTCTTTTGCATGGCCCTTTCCATGACTGACATGTCATGATACTCCATTGCAAAAGTATGTTCGATGGCTAGAGAGAATGGAATATTCTGTTATGAGAGATTTAGGTCCAATTGGATGCATTTGCTTATCATAAACAATCCTGTGATGGGTGTCCTTTTACTTAAATCATTTTCAGTATTGGGAACTATTTCCAGACTGAAGGGACACTCTGGTGTATGTTTCCAAAGTACTAGATAGGAAGCAGTGCCTTGGCACCCCCTGGCACTTGCGATGAGAACTGCTAACTTCTCTTTATTTTATTTTATTTTATTTTATTATTTACGATAGTCATAGAGAGAGAGAGAGAGAGAGAGAGAGAGAGAGGCAGAGACACAGGCAGAGGGAGAAGCAGGCTCCATGCACCGGGAGCCTGACGTGGGATTCGATCCCGGGTCTCCAGGATCGCGCCCCGGGCCAAAGGCAGGCGCCAAACCGCTGCGCCACCCAGGGATCCCTAACTTCTCTACACTAACTGAATGACACAGAAGATACTGGAGTTGGAACAGCGGGACCTCAGCCCCTCGTGGCCCTCAGAGCACGAGGCACTTCTATCACTTCCTCCTAGAAACCAATCCTCTTTCCTGGGAGGCTAAGCACAGATCTGGGGGCGCTCCAGCCAACCCCAGGCTGGGTGGGGAGCAGGGAGTGGGAGGTGGAGGCTCACTTTGGGAGCCCATCCATCAGGTGTGCCTGCTCTGGTATTTGCCTTCCCAGTTAATCCCCACAGCACCCCTTATCCAAGGGTTGGCCATCCTGAGGTTGCAGAGAACAGTCACACTGAGCCCTGCTGGCGCCTGTGCAAGAGCCCACCTGCCACCACACAAGCATGTAAATTCCCTGGCCCACCTCAAGCCACCTGCCTCCTTGGAGGGTGGGTCAGCGAACCTGCACCTTCACCCCTCCCAGGTAAGTCTCAGGAACACGGGGTTGGGGGCTCCTCCAGCTTCTCTCAGCAAGGCAGGGGACCAGAGGGGCTAGGAAGGGTCCAGGGCTAACCTGTGGCTACGCTGATCTGCATGGGTTTCCCCCCAACTCGCCCCCTAAGTCACACTGACACTTAGACTAAGGGCACCCCTACCTAGACTTCTGTGGCTACAGCACCACCCACTGGCAGAAAGCTGGAAGGGCAAGCCTGAGCGGACCAGGACCTGAAGGGAGGCCCCGCCTCTGGGCCGCCTGTTGGAATTATCCAAGTGCTGCTAGCAAGACCCAACAAGGAATGAGCCAGATGTCTTCACTGGAGAATGGCTAAAATTTGGTATGGAAACACTCACACACGAGTAAAACACATGCATATATATGAATCATTTTTAATGGGAATGTGGCTTATTCTCACATCTCTCCACATCCTCGCTGTGGATGGACTTGAGCTCTTTCATGCCCACAAAAGCATTCCTCCCTTCTCAGCACAGAAACCCTCCCTTGTCCATGGGGTTCCTTCCAAGACCTCCACTGGAAGCCTGAAACCACGAACAGTCCTGAATCCTACATATACTATGTTTTCCTGTATGTACACACATATGATTAAGTTATAAACTAGTAATAAACAATAATATAAACTAGTATAAACAATAATAATAGAAGTTATAGCAACATACTGTAATGAAAAGTATATGAACGTGATTTTTTTCTCTCTCTCCATCTAGTGCACTTCTTCCTGGGAGGAGCAGAGATGATAAAATGCCTGTGTGCTGAGATGAAGGAGGTGAATGGCGTTAGCAGGTGACACAGCATTAGGCTACTACTGACCCTCCTGACGCTCCATCAGAGGGAGGGTCATCTGCTTCTGGACCATGGTTGACTGTGTGTACATACCCTAGGGTACCTGAGACCACAGATCAAGAGGGAACTACTGGCACGCAGGAGCCAGGCACCATGCTTCGTGCAGCATGCAGGGGACTGAGGCAGAGCACCTGCCCTCAGCTTGGGTTCAGACTGGTGGATGGATGATCCATAAGTAAACAGGCCAATGCCATATGGTGGCAGGTGCCCTGGAGAGGGCAGCGTGGGATGTGGTGGGGGTGGGGGCTGGGCCTCCCCACTGAGGGCATATCTGAGCTAAGAATCAAAAGGTGTAGATGGGGAGGAGGTAGATGTGGAGGGTGTGCACCCCAGAGGAGGGGAGAGCAGGCTGGACTGTGCACAGTGCAGGGCAGGGTGCACAGTAGGTAAGGCATCAGTCCAAGACTCTGCAGGACGAGCAGAGAAGGCTCACGTTTTAGTTGATGCACTTCAGAGTTGTGTGAACTTTAAGCAGGCGGCATTTCTGCTCCCTTCCATGACCCAAAATACTGACAGAGCAACAGAGGAGGACACAGAGCAGCCTTCCATGCCATCCCAGAGAACGCTGGCAGCATACACCTGCCAGGAGAAGCCCTCAGACCTGGTGCAGGATGCCTGATGGAGGCCTCTCACCTGCTCTCCTGGTTGGGAGGCTGCTTGTGATGGATTTAAGCTTGGTTCTAAAAGAGAGAAGGGATGTTTACAAGGCAGCCACCAGAGTCCTACCATACTGCTACTTCGAAGGTAGAGCAGCCTTGAAACAGGTGGGCTGCCTTGGGGACTCTACACCAGCTTGGGGTGCGGGCAGCACAGGCCTGGACCTGGGGTAGATGCAACCTGTGAGCTGCTGCCCAAGGGCCTAGCAGAGCAGTGTGCCTGCCTCAGGCAGTCTTTAAAGAAGGGTGTGAAGGGTGCCTGGGTGGCTCAGTCGGTTGAGCATCTGCCTTCGGCTCAGGTCATGGTCTCAGGGTCCTGGGATCGAGTCCCGCATTGGGCTCCCTATTCAGTGGAGAGCCTGTTCCTCCCCCTCTCTCTGCTAATGCCGGTGCTTATGCGCATGTGTTTGCAAGTGCTCTCTCTCTCTCTCTCTCTCTCTCTCTCTCCCCTCTCTGTTAAATAAATAAATAAATATTTTTAAAAAAAGGACAGGTGAAACCCAAAAATTCAAAACATGAGCCAATAAACATCTGTATCCCGGACGAGGATCTGCATCCTCATGGTTGCCCTGCCTCGGATGGACCCCCATAACTCCCTACTTCTGGGACTTTCAGCAGGAGGAGCAGCCTCCACCCCAGGATGCAGCCATGAGCATTCTCATTAGTCTACACCAGGAAGTGCCCCCTGCCACACTCCCGAAGGTGACCAGTATCACAGTGCTCATTGGACTCAGGTGCCCAGAACACCACGGGGCCTGGGCTCCTGAGCGGCCACAGGGTTTGGGGCCAGGACAGCAGTTTCAGAAGAGAGCCAGAAAGAACAGTGTTGAGCCCTGGGCTCAGCTCCCAGCTCTGCCTCTCACTACCTCTTGACCTTGTAAAATATAGAAATAAGTGAGGCCGGCAGGCTGCTTCCAGGATTCGAGGGGATGATCTTGGAGAAAAGGGTGAGCCACCCCTCTCAGAGGCACATGGGGATCAAAGTGAGTGGGTCCAGGAAGCTTAGCTCTCACCACTAGGACTGTTTTGGGTGCACCTGCACTACACCCACCCAGGCTGCCCTCAGCTAAGGCCACCTTAGGTGAGGCCGCTCTGTGAGACCTTCAGGAAGTGACGTAACTTCTCTAGGCCTCTGCTCCTCACCTACAAAGTGGGGTTAAGGGGATCCCTGGGTGGCTTCAGCAGTTTAGTGCCCACCTTCAGTCCAGGGCGTGATCCTGGAGTCCCAGGATCGAGTCCCACATCAGGCTCCTTGCATGGAGCCTGCTTCTCCCTCTGTTTCTCTGCCTCTTTCTCTCTGTGTGTCTCTCATGAATAAATAAATAAAATCTTAAACAAAACAAAACAAAGTGGGGTTAAGATGGCAGTTGGGAAGGTACCATCAAGAAAAGGAGGTCAAGGGATCCCTGGGTGGTGCAGCGGTTTGGCGCCTGCCTTTGGCCCAGGGCGCGATCCTGGAGACCCGGGATCGAATCCCACGTCGGGCTCCCAGTGCATGGAGCCTGTTTCTCCCTCTGCCTCTCTCTCTCTGTGTGACTATCAAGAAAGAAAGAAAGAAAGAAAAGAAAGAAAGAAAGAAAGAAAGAAAGAAAGAAAGAAAGAAAGAAAGAAAGAAAGAAATAAGAAAAGGAGGTCAAGTGTACAGTGTGGTTGCTGATGCACCCTAAGTGCCTGTTAAACTGAGGTGCTCCATAGGATGACAAAGCCACACACACCCTTCTGGCAATGAGCCAATCACCGATGGGAGTCCACTGTTCCAGGCTTCCACCAGATGCTAAGCCTCCAGGAGCGACCCGAAAGACAAAAGTCCCTCCCATTTGTGGGGCTTATACTCTGACAGTGGGATGGGGTGGGGTGGGGTAGGGTGAGTAGACCAAAGATAAATGAGCAAAATACACAATACTCTAGGAGCAACAGTGCTGTGGAGAACAGCTGGGAGCAAAGAGGGAGCTGGCCATCAGGGAAGGCCTGAGTAGAGGTCACATTTACACAGAGACTGGAAGCTCAGGCAGAAGGAAGAGGCAATGCAAAGGCCCTGGGGTAGGAAGACCAGCCAGTCACACAGCAGCAAGAGAGCCAGTGTGGCCCAAGGGAGCATAAAAGGGAAGGCATGGGAGATGAGATCTGGGAGCTGGATGGTGCTCAGATCCAGAACTACCCAGCAGGTGGAGCCAACAGGATCGGCCGAGGAAGATATAAGAGGAAGAATGGGGTCACTGAAGGCCCCAGGTTTTGAATGTGAGTAACTGGATGCCGCAGAGGTCATTTACAGAGGAGAGGAAGAATGTAGGAGGAGCAGCCTGGGCACAGATCCAGGGTGTCTTTTTGGCCCATCAAGGCCAGTTAAATCAACAGACGGAGCCAACCAAGAGGTCCCAGCTGAAAACAGACCCCGGGGTGCACAAGGGTACTAAAGGCACAGACTGGACGAGACCTCCATGGGAGTGAGGTGGGGTGCCCACTCCCTGACCCAGAGCCCCAGTAAAGCCCCTCAGAGGCCAGCATTGGCCCCCACGCCAATGTCTAACCACCTGAGCTGCCTGGGGTTCACATACCCTCCTGAGCCTGGGACTCCTACACCCCTATCCTGGGACCACCCATCCAGAGACATCTCCAAGCCAACACATCAACACCATCCCTCCTGCACCCTCAAACTCCCTCCAGGGCAGGAACAAGGAAGAGCATGGGCTCAGAGCACAGGTTCAAGACCTGGATTCATGGCCCAGACCTACTCTCTGCCTCCCCACTGGCCTCAGGCAAGCAGGCAGCCTCCCCTATGCAATGGGGGTAACAGGGAAAATAATGTGGTGCTGTGCATATTCTGTGAGCGGAAGTGCTTCAGAGCTTTGCAAAACGCTGAGCACTCACTTGGTAGCCAGCAGCAGTTACATGAGTCCTCACCACCCTGTGACCTCCCCAGGTCCCCCTCTCCCTCACGCCCCCATCTAAAGGTGTCCTCCCCAGTGTCCAGCCTCTCTCTGTAGGCCTGCAGAGGCCCTCGCCCCACCCTCAACCCCGCCCCACAGGCTTAGGCCCATCCTCCTCACCGCACCAAAGGACGCACTCCACTCAACGCACTCCACTCTGAACGTGGCCTGGTTTGCCCCAGGACTCCAAGGGCATGGAACAAATCCAGATTCCCACCAGGGCAGGCGAGCCCCTTCACAGCATGCCCAGGTCACCCACACCCATGTCCATCCATTAAAACTTTCACCCTGGCTTGGTTCACACACAGGTGCTGCTCCCGCTCTCCTTCTCTCCAGCCAGTGTGCATTCCTCCTCTCATCACAGCAGGTGGCTGGCCAAGGCCCACAGGGACACAGGACACAGGATACAGGACACAGATGCAGTGTCGTATCTCTGCTGGACCCCAGGTGGCAGTGTAGAGCAAGACAAATCCTCTTCCCCAAGCAAGGAGACAGAGCAGCCTCCACAGGAAATGTCAGGCCCCTTGGGGCTGGAGGCAAGGCAGGAGAGGATGGGCCAAATGCCCCTCAGCTGCCTTGAAGCCTGGCCCTCCTCTCAGGCACTCTGGCAGCCCAGGCCCCACCCCTCTCGTTCCCAGGGGTGTCAATGGAGCAGGGGAGGGGTCAGGTCCAGGATAGCCAGGCTCTGGGGGATTCCAGAAACCAAGACTCTTCTGCATGAGGGGGAGGAGGCAGCTCCCAGCAGCTCCCAGCAGCTCCCAACATAGTCTCCAGCTGCCCCCATCCCTCTTTCATGAGTCCCAAACCAAGCAGCATTCTAAAAGGTCCCATCTAAGACTTCCAGAAGTTCCCAAGGCCCAGGGGACGAAGGAAAACACTCCAAAGCAAACTCCCATGCTGACCCAAGTATGGTGCGATGCCAGAGGGATGCCAGGCCTCCCGGGCTTGGAACCTTCCAGGTGATCTCAAGCAGGCTGGGTGAGGGCCCAGAGATGCTTACCCCATTCTGGCTGTTACAGTGCCGGGTGCTGATGATGGCTCCTGCCTCCTCGATCATCTTCAGGATGGTTCCACCATGGACATTGCCTGCCACATTGGCATCATCTGGCCGCATGATCCTAGGCAGAGAGAGAAGCAGCAGGATGAGGCCCCTGGGAAAGACGTCACTCCCAAACAGCGATAACCCAGGGTGAGGAGAAGTTCCTCCAAAGAGACCAATAGCTCCCAAAGGAGGAAAAAGAACTTTCTGGAGTTTGGTCAGAGTGGGCTGCTGATCTGAAAACCCTAGACAAGGCGCTGCAACGTCCTGTCTCCATGGGAGGAAGGAGGGCAGACAGTGCGACTTTATCCCCTGGAGCCACAGGCACCCAGCCAGGAAGGGGCAACGGCAGAGGCCTATGGAAAAGGCAGCAAGGCACCAGCACAGCCATTGGGGTTCCCAGCACACCTGCCCCCCCAGTTCTCAGGCTCCCCAACGACCAACAGCGCTGAATGAGCACCAGGACATAGCACCATGGAAGATGGACAAAGTCCTGGGGCCACTACCAGCAGGATCCCAGAGGGGCTGATGCAGAGTCAGTGTAGGCTGCTCTGAGAAGTGGAAGCGCACCACAACTCTGAGACTCCTGTTGGCGGGGGAACACCCATCACCACCTGCCCCCTCGCATGCTGAGCTCCTCAGAGGCACCTGAGGGGTCAGAGTCCCTGGGACCGAAAGCTAGGAGCCCTCCAGGGTCAGGGAGAACTGAACTGCCACCTCACTGCCCCAAAGGGGAAAAACTGCATCCCTGCTGTCGGCAGCCAATGATGGGCAAAGTCCAAGAAACCTCTGGAATCCCAAGAAGGCAGCCTGGTGCTCTGGAGTGGGCAACCCCAGCCAAGCTGGCACTTTCCCAAACTACAGTCCGGGCCTCAGGCCCAGAGATGGGGGATAGGCAAGAACGCCTACCACCCAGTTCCAGAGTGCCAGCCACACCTGCACTCACCCAGCACAGCACCCTCTGCTCGGGGCCAGGGAGCTCCGCCACCCTCGAGGGCTATGATCTCCTGACAGCTCAGTCTAGCCAGACTCCGAGGTCACTCCTGGCTCCCACTCTTACTAGATGAGTAAGCTGAGCGAGCTGATCAAACTCCATTCCTCCACTTCCTTGTTTTTAAAATAGGCATCATAACTGAACCCCTGCACTCAGCCAAGGGAGGACAGACTCACCCAAAATAATGTAGATAACAAGTCCAGCCGCAGTGCCTGGCACACACGGCCAATACAATGCCTGCTCATCAGCAGTACTCTTCCCTCTAGGTAAGTATTTAACCAACCCACCGCAAGAAGACTGGAAGCTCCACGACAGAGCCAGATGTTATTTTCTCGGCAAATAAGCAAGGACATCATGTGGTGACTGACAGTGGACTGCTGCCCACCCCCAAATATGACCGCTTCATCCTGGGGGAGAGCTGGCTACCCAGGCCACGTGGCTTCTTCACCTGGCCTTGCTGGCTCGGGGTAGCAGTCACGATAACCTCAACAGTGGCCAGGAGAACCCCAGGGCACAAGAAAGAGGCTTCACTTGGCTTCACAAATATTTACTTAAAAATATTTCTTGAGTCAACTCAAAACGGATAAAGAATATAAGACTGGGGATCCCTGGGTGGCGCAGCGGTTTGGCGCCTGCCTTTGGCCCAGGGCGCGATCCTGGAGACCCGGGATCGAATCCCACGTCGGGCTCCCGGTGCGTGGAGCCTGCTTCTCCCTCTGCCTGTGTCTCTGCCTCTCTCTCTCTCTCTCTCTCTCTATCATAAATAAATAAATAAATAAAAAAAAAAAAAAAAAAAAAAAAAAGAATATAAGACTGGAATTCAGGCAGCCCGGGTGGCTCAGAGGTTTAGCGCTGCCTTCAGCCCAGGACGTGATCCTGGGGACCCTGGATCGAGTCCCATGTTGAGCTCCCTGCATGGAGCCTGCTTCTCCCTCTGCCTGTGTCTCTGCCTCTCTCTCTTTCTCTCTCTCTCTCATGAATAAATAAATTTTAAAAATCTTAAAAAAAAAAAAAAAAAAGACTGGAAGCCATGAAACTCCTAGCAGAAAACGAGCTTATAGTAAGCAACCTGACATCAGTCCTGGCAATGGTTTTTTGGATCTGACTCCAAAAGTAAAAGCAAGAAAAGCAAAAATAAACAAGCGGGACTTTATCAAAGTAAAAAGCTTCCGTGGAGCAAAGTAAATCATCAACAAAATGAAAAGGCAACCTACAAGAGAAAATATTTGTAACTCATGTATCCAATAAGCAATTAATATCCAAATTATGTATAAAGAGCTCACACAACCGTGAAAAAAAATCTGATTTTAAAATGGGCAAAGAGGGATGTTAGCCTGGCTCAGTTGGTGGAGCATCTGACTCTTGATCTCAGGGTTGTGAGTTCAAGCCCCACATTGGACATGGAGCGTACTTAAAAACAAATAAAAATAAAAAATAAAACAGACAAAAACTGACTAGATAGTTTTCTTAAGAAGGCCAACAGGCACATGGCAAGGTGTTTAAACACCACTCATCATCAGGGAAATGAAAAAAGCACTGTGAAATATTACCTCACACCTGTTAGAACAGCTATTGTCAAAAAGACAAAAGGGTAATGGGCAATGGCGAGGACGTGGAGAAAAAGGAACCCTCGTGCACCACTGGTAGGAGTGTAAACTGGTGCAGCCACTATGGAGAACAGTATTAAAATTATATATATAAAATTTAAAAATTAAAGCCAGAACTACCACATGATCCAGCAATTCCACTCCTGAGTATTTACCCAAAGGAAACAAACACAAACTTGAAAAGATACACACCATTCCCTGCAGTGTTGCTGGTGGGGACAGCCAAGCCGCAGCAGCCACCCGAGCGCTGGTCAGTGGGTGAATGGATAAAGTTAACGCGAGATATGGAAATACAAAAGAATAGTATCCAGCTATAGGAAAGGAGGGAATTCTGGGGCACCTGAAGCGACTGCTTTCAGCTCAGGTTAAGCCCCCCGGGGTCCTGGGTTCGAGCCCCACATTGGGCTCTCTGCTCAGTGGGGAGCCGCTTCTCCCTCCCCCTCTGCCATTCTGCCAGCTTGGATGCTCTCTCTCTCTCTCAAATAAATTTTTAAAAAAATCTTTTTAAAAAGGAGGGAATTCTGTCATTTGTGACAACTTGAATGGACCCTGGTGGCACAACGCCAAGTGAAAGAAGGGGAGACACAAAAACTGTGTAAACGCTACGTGATCTCACTTGCACGTGGAATCTGAAAACAGATCTCAGAGAGAGAACAGACCGCTGTCGCCCCAGGCCGGGCAGGGTGGACACCGCGAAAGCTGCGAACTTCCACCACGAGGTAGGCCAGTGCTGGGGGCTGAGCACAGCGCGTGAGCCAGGTTTACAAAACGGCACCGTGCACGCAGACGCCGCTGAGAGAGTAGGTGGTAGACGTGTCCACCACAGGGAAAAGAATCTGTGACCGTGTCAGGTGACAGCTTAACTGAACTCACTGGGGTGATCCTTCTGCTATAGACACAAATCAAACCACCCCCTTGCATAACTAAAACAAATACAACATTCTATGTCAATTACACAACAATGCTGGAAAACCAAAACAGAAAATATTTAAAATATTTTCAAGTTCAAAAAAACTCAGGCTTAAAAAAATAGAAATTCTAATTTATAGCAAGTGGATTTTTTTGGGGGAAAAGATTTTATTTATTTATTCATGATAGACATAGAGAGAAAGAGAGAGAGAGAGGCAGAGACACAGGCAGAGGAAGAAGCAGGCTCCATGCCGGGAGCCCGACGTGGGACCTGATCCCAGGACTCCAGGATCGCGCCCTGGGCCAAAGGCAGGCGCTAAACCACTGAGCCACCCAGGGATCCCCGGATTTTTTTTCTAAAGCCTGAGTTAAGAGGTAGCCAATTTTAATAATGAAACTGCTGTTACCAACTTCTTTCCTTTATATTTGTTTTCAACTGAGTAAGGGACAGTTGGTCATTTCCGCCCAGAGGCTGGTCCCCCTGGGCACAGATACTAGGGAAGCTGTGAGGAGGCAGGGGCTGGCCGGGAAAGCAGAGCTCCTGGGTTCCAGAGCATCAGGGAAACCTAAATCCAGCCTTTCCCAGAAGCACCAGGGCCTGCCTCAGGGGCAGCCTGATTTCCCCCCTGCCCCTGGCCTCAATTTGCCTATCTGTAAATGGTCGGCCAACACGACAGCCACTCGGCTCAGGCTGGGAGAGAAGGACAGACTGGGGGCCACGGGGCAGACAAGGAAGTGCTCACATCCGGCGGGGCGCTGGGGGAAGAGGCTGATAAGGAGGCAACCTTTGAGATAGTGCCTGGGGCCATCCTGCAACACTTCACAGTCCTCAGAAAGCCCACATCGTCCACATGTCCACATCCGGCTGCCCCCAGGAGCCCAGGCACTTGGGAGTAAATGCTGAGAGCTCCAGACCACAAGCTGTTGGGCACAAAAGCTCATTGGGACGCTTGTTATCCCCCCACCCTTCCTGTCACCCTGGGTCCCACACAGAACAGCGTCCTAGCTCCCCAGGCCAGCTGGCCACACAGGCAGAGTACAGGCACAAACCTCCCCAGTCTAGGATGTGACCCTGACCCTGACCCCAGCCCACATTCTGCTGCTGGGCAGGGCTGTCCCCCAGGGCCCCCACAGCACCACCCTCTCCCCCAGGGCCTTCCTCCCCAGCCCCTGGCCTGGTCTTCTCTAGGCAGGCAGGTGTCTGAGAAGTGAGGGCAGCCAAGAGAACATGTGGTCCCTCACTCAAGCTTTTGTTTTCCCATGTTTAATGAAGATGTGTGTATGAAGAGTGTTTCACTTTCCTTTTCACTATTAAAAAATAAGAAACAGGCACAACGCCAAGCAGCACTTGGTCTGGGAGGCTTCTGCACCTGCCTCTCATCTCTGGGACCTAAGTGGCCACTTATCTCACTGCCTCAAGAGGCATTTTTTTTTTTTAAGATTTTATTTATTCAGTTGACAGCACGCACAAGCAGGGCAAGTGGCAGATGGAGAGGGAGAGGGAGAAGCAGGCTCTCCACTCGAGCCTGATGTGGGGCTCCATCCCAGCACCCTGGGATCATGACTCAA